GTTTTTATGAGAGGTTTCTCAGAAAATAAGTTTTTTTCTGGCATGTTTAACTCATTCACTGCCAGCCATTTCCTGATCGCTAACGGCCTTCGCTGTCAGCGTTTCTCACCGTTTTTACAGTTGTTTTAAGAGTGACAGAACGTTGCGCGCTAGCATGATGTCGATGCCAAAACAACCAAAACAAAGCGGAGACTCACCTCTTACATCAGGAAGAATCCGTGTGTTTCGAGCGTTATCCCTTCTTTCATAATCCGTTGTCGAATTGTGATCGGCAGACGCTTTTCCGGTTCGCGCCTCGCTTTTTTTACAGGAACGGCCCAAAACGATCTCCAAACACATAGATGGTCTGCTTCCTGATCATGTGATCTGTGACGTATGCGGATGAAGATCGGCTTCAGGGCTGAGATGTTTGTTCTCTCAGCGCGGGGGCTCGTTCCGATGCTCAAACAGTAAAAAAATGCAAATGACGACTTTAGTCGTCTTTGGCAGTGAATGAGTTAAAGGGACTTTACAGAGTTTTGAATTTTTATGCTAGCGATCGCCCCCTCAGGCCAAAAGCGTAACGGCAGCTTCAATAGTAGGCTCGTGCACGAGGCGCGCATGCTGTACGTGCACACTCCTTAATGAAAATAACAGCTGAGATGGTCCTGTGTGTGTGTGTGTGTGTGTGTGTGTGTGTGTGTGTGTGTGTGTGTGTGTGTGTGTGTGTGTGTGTGTGTGTGTGTGTGGCCCGGAGGACAGAGGACAGGAGAACGTGCAGCTAATTAATTAAATAATTTGGTTCTGTACCTTTCTCTTCAGCACAGCCGACAAAGGTTTATGATGGGTCAGTCCTCCTGCATGCTCACATCATTCCCTTCCCTTGCTTGAAAAATTGTTCCAAAATGAAAGTTGAACCCACATCTTTTTTATCTGTGAATTCAATGCCGTTCGGCGAGTCTCAAATAACAATTTGGGCATCTTACTGTAAAAAAAATATACCATTAATGTGAAAAAGAAACTCTAAATAAACTATGTTCACATCCAGAATCAAACCCAGGTCTCCCGCACAAGAGTCCAACGTCTAACCAGGTTAGCTATAGCGCCAGCGATGAATGTTTGATCTGTAACTTTTATATCCTTGATGACAGCTGAAACAACGTTAAAAGAACGGTTGGGAGTGAAAATGGCTATTTTGTTGCTAATTAGCAGGAAATATCTAGAAGAAAGTTCTACAGAAAGTAGCTAAGGGTCCTCAGAAATGTAGCTAGCTTTGTCACTAGGCGTTAGGAACAGCGACAAAGTGGCACTGCCTCTCTCTCTGCTGCTAAAGCTACGGATAGCAAATGCTACGGGCGATGCCTGAGCGTGAACGCGCATGAAGCAGCCTGCTCGACCCGAGCATCTCTCTTTTTCTGTGATTTTACAGAAAAACAGGCAATCACAGTAAAAATGCCAGGGCTCATTCTACAGGACCAGGGCATTGCAGGAGAATGTATGAAGAAGACATTTATTATTTCTATACATGATTTGGCTGTCAGACTTCCATAATGCACCTTTAAACTTTCTAATTTACATAAAAAGTAGGTCACACACGGCTTTGACTCCTTTGGCTACTTTTGACCACCAAAGCTGTCGTTATTCATAAACAGCAAAATAAATGTTGGTTTAGATTCTTTCTCCCCTTAAAGAAAATGTTACATGAGCACAGTGGGTCATGAATAACTGAGCATAAATGTTTAAAATATGTTTCTCATGATTTATTGTTGTTTTCAATTGACAACTGTGTTTTGTTTTGTTTAGCATTAGCACCATAGCACGATGACAACTATAAAGCAGGCAATAACTGCTCCATGTCGAAGTCCACAGGCGAAGGGCAACATCCTTGGATGATGATTATTATCCATCGCCTAGCTATTTCCAGTAATGTGTTTCAGCAAAACGTCCACGATTTGGGGAACTACCTCCCCCTGCAGGAGCTGCATGCTTATGAAAGTGCTTCAGAATGCACTGGATTTTTTAGCTTCGTTTCCTAGACGGATGGGGATGGATATTTGGTTTTACCAAACCCGGCTATGTGTGTACACGGCCCAAGACCGGGAGAGCTGTGATAAAACATCAGCTGAAGGACCCAGCGTTAATTAAAACATGCACTTTTGCTATTATTCATTTTAACGGTTAAAATTCAAGGTTTACGCGTTAATATTAGGTTAACTGGTCTCCTTATGAGTTCATTATTTTATTCTATGAGCAGAAACAAATAAATTATGTTCTGTTGGAGAATATAAAGATCTTCACATTCATTATTTATGACGGTAAAAATCAACGCAGCCGGCCCTCAACTCCACTTCTTGATCTGAGGCAAAAGGAGCTTTAAGTCAACCTCCAAAAATAGGTACTCTGTTTAATCCAATCAGATGGCATAATCAAGCACAATGCCGGTGATTTCTGCCAGCCTTGTGAGATTTGTTCCAATTGAGTGGTCTGTCAGAGAGGCTGTGATTGCATTTGGAGCTCGCGCTGATTTCTGAGCCGAGGCATGAAGTGTTTTCTCTCTGCGCCCTTTAGAGACTCACACTCACAATAGCTGAGTTCTGTTGCAGAAGTCAGATAAAAAATTTACTTATTTTCAAAAAGGGCCTAATTTCCAAGTGCTCATGTTCATTTAGTGTTCCCCCTTCACCCCCCCCCCCCCCCCCCAATTTTTTGTACCCCTTGCAGAGCAAGAGCTGCAATCTTCCCTCACAACTAACAGAGATCTTTCTTAAACCTTTAGTGAGCTTTAGTTTTATGTTTAGTCAGGACGTTTGCTGCAATTGCATCATTTATTTCTGTAAAATTCTGTAATCCCAGAACCAAAATCATTATTTCTTTACTTAAAATAAAATCTGGATCAAAAACATTTTTGAGAACAAACACCTGGTTGTCCTGACATTGTGTGAATGATGAAATCCCCGAGCGGTACAATTACTCATAATCTATGCGATGGATGATGTCTAAATCTCAAAGTCTACGTTGATCTCTCGTGTTTTAATGGCGTTCTGTTCTTCTTAACGCTACGTTTTATACGTTTGAGCTCTATTGGGACTTGTTAGGGAAGCTAGGAAAGAAATATAGAAGAAAAATGAGAAACATCTACATATTTACATTTTTAATTCCAATAAAAGATAATTTTATGCATTTGAGTGATATTGTGTTAATGGATAGAAACATAAAAGCTGAATACATGTTTCATTTGTAAGTATTAAAGCGAGGTCACAGACCAGGAACGAATCCACTTATTTACAAGTCAGCAAACTGATGATCTCCCTAAATAGATTAAATGCCCACATCTCTGAAGGCCGTATATTTCTGTTGACCCCCCCCCCACAGAAGGGTTTGGAGGACATCTTCATGTTGGGGTTCACTACAGGTCGTTCACCTCACAGACGTCCTTACAAGTCAGGTGACTTGGTTTCTAGTATTAGCATAACTTCAGGTTTTTCAAGTCTTATTGAAGTTACCCCATGGTGCTTGTATATAAAGCAGTTAGCTGCAGCCAATCACTAAGCTCGAGCTAAAGCTGTTGCTTCGTGATGTAATCATTGGTTTGTGTTGATCGTGTTTGGTTAATGCATCGATGATTTTTAATTGAATCTTAGAAATAAGAACTGTTCAAAAGTCTTCATCGCACCACACCAAAGCATCAATCTCAGCCAGACGCTGGGATTGGAAACTGTTGCCCAAAATTTGGGCTAAATCTTCAAAATTCATGTTTCCCTCTGATGATAATTGGCATTTTCAGTGGTTTCAGATTTGTCATGTTACCACTACAGAACCAAAAGTAAAGAAGTGTTTTTTGAATGTCATTGGTGAGCCCTTCTGCTGCTGTTCTGCACAAAGTTACGCTTTTAAGTAATTTCACTCTTTTTCTGCATGAGACTTTGCTGTTGATTCACCTTCTGCACAACTTCTAATGTCTCGGTCTCTCTGCGTTCCGGTAACATCTGACCGTGCAGACACTCTGTCCTTTCAGCTCCTCCTGATTAGTGTCCGTGTTCCAGATTGGACTTTTTATGGAGCACGGGGCAGCAGCAGCTCAGGAGGTTGAGCAAGTCGCCCACTGATCGAAGGATTGCAGGATCAATCCCGGTTCTTCTTCAGGGTACTCTGCTTATGTGTCCTTGGGCAAGACACTTCACCCGACTTGCCTATGTTGGTGGTAGTGAGAGGAGCAGATGATGCCAATGGCAGCCTCGTCTCTGTCAGACCACCCTAGGGCAGCTGTGGCTACAAGTAGCTTACCATCACCGGCAGTGTGTGTGAGTGCGTGATTAATGGAAAGCACTTTGAGTGCCTTGAAAAGCCCTAAATGAATCCAATCTATAATAATAAAAATAATAATAATACTTATTATTATTATTGTTATCATCACACCCAGGGTTTTGATGCTAAACTTGCTGGTTTGCTTAGCAGTTTTACACAAACATACCGGTCAGAGTGTTTATTCTGAAAATCACAATTCTGGATCCATATTTTTGTCGACGCCATGATGGACACCCATCGGTCTCCCTTGACTATTGCATTCCAACTTTTGTTGTTGTGTTCACTCATCCTGCTCCAGGCTCTGATATAAAGGTAAAGTCCCACTAGTCACCATCACACACTGGTGAAACGACATCCCCACTGGGAGCAGGGAGCTGCAGCGGTGTCTGCGCTCGGGAACCATTTGGTGGTTTAAGTCTGTATCCTAGACCGAAGTGCTGCAGCTTCCTTACTCCGGTCTCAGATACAGACTTTAGTGTTGATTGAGCTCACACTAGCAGTTAGCTCATCAGTCCTGTTGGGAAGTATTACTCTAAACTGAGGCTGAGCAGGACAGTGAGTCGGACAGAAATCTAAGTGTTCCAAAACGGTCAACAGGCCTTCAATTTACCAGGGGAAGAGGTGCTGTTGGATGAAAATTAAAATACATGGAAGGGTAAACACACACACACACACACACACACACACACACAACTTGTGAAAGGGTAATACAGTACCTTGATTGCCTTCAGGGTTGGAGGAGGAGGTGGTGATGGTGGAGGTGGTGGTGATGATAGCTGAGGTGGGTATAAGGGTGGTGGTGGGAGCATCTGAGTGAGAGGACAAATATATGTCAAACACAGGGTGGGGGTGGGGTGGGGGGGGACAGATGAATATAAAAAGCCATGAAGATAAAAGCAACAGTGAAAGGATAATATCACTCGCGGGCGTGCGAGCAGCGGCTCGTCACCAGGTGAGTTAAAGGTCAGCTGCAGGCGCAGAGGCGTGTAGAACACGGCTGGAGCACGGCGACGACATGATCTCATCTCGTTAGAACAGAGATGATGAGAGATCTCGTTGGGATTTCCTCTTTTGTGTCTCCTCACAGGCGTGGCGTTACAGAATGATGTGACAATAAAAAGCAGACAGCTGTTGGTAGTTATTAAACGTATTATGACTAGCAAGTGCTGTCATTATGCAGCGAGCTCTCCTCCGGCTCTTAATCGCTTCTGAGAGGTGAAGAACAGACACGTTCCACAGAAGGTGGGAATTAAAACACGTGAAAATTAGTGAACAGCGTTGTTGAGATCACCGATTTTAACTGTCCTGCTCACAGCTTTCCCCCTTTCTTCCTTCATTAGCCGGGTTAGACCCCCCGCCTAAACAGTGACCGGTGGGAGGTATCAACGTGACATTTTCCCCGTCGAACCGGTCCGGTCCGGTTGATCTAAAGCTGCCGGCGGTGCTGCTCAGTTAGAGACCTCCCGTGCTTCTCTGATTGCCTGGGAACGGACTGAGAAACCTGTCGGGATTGTTAAAAGGTCCTGGGAAAAAAGTAATTTGTGGCTGTTGATAAGAAAGAGAGGCAGTCTGCGCTTTAATGAAATAAGGTGTTATAAGAAGGTGAGGAGAGGAAATGTGTACGGCAGAGACAGGAGGGAAGGAAAGTCAATGAGATGGAAAAACTGTTGGTTTTAGCAGAAACCTTTAATGCAGGAACGTAAAAACAGAAAGGGGATTTGTTTTTATCTCTCCCCTTTTTAAACTCAACAAAATCTAAATATAGGCCGTGATTTACAGGAAACAAGGGTGTCCCCTGCAGGTGGAACGGAATATTCTTCAGCTAATATTTAAAAATATAGTCACCACGACTAAGGGTAAACGCTAGAGAGAAAACGGGCCCGTTCCTAAAGAATGGATCATAACCCATCCATCTCTCACCTCTCTGCTCACACCCTTTATGTGCACCAATCACACGCTCTCAGATGGGAGCAGCTGAACAGGAAGTCAAACCGGAGCCAGGCTGCCGAGTGTTCGTGAGGTTTATAAATGTTCTCATGCCGGTGAGCTGCTGTGATTTTGAAGTTAGCCTTGTTTCTCACCATTAAAACACCACACTGTATTGGGTGGCATACCAAACTGTTACACAGATACATACCAATACTCATACACTCAATCCAAGATGGCTGCCGCAGCACAGCACTGTTTTGTTGTCTGAGTGAATGGACTCCTATCCATATTCTACTGCAACTTTGCTACCTACTCTGGATCTGAAAGATCTGATAGTCGTCAGGAGCAGGATCTGTTGAATAAGAGGCCACGGGAAACTGATCGGGATGATGCTGGATGGACTAACTGAGGCCCAAGTCTACCTGGAAGTCACCTGCCTTGTCTAAGGTTTGGACTTGAGAAATACCTGCTATGAATTTCTGCAGTGAAAGGAACATCATTTTCCATTCTACTTGAAGTCATGATCAAGATCTGTTGGGGGAGAAGAATCGACAGGGTATTTAACTAGGATGGAGTTGGCTAAAGCTACCCGAGAACTATACTGTAGCTACCTGGAAGCCTCCTGCTCTGTAAACGGTTTGAAACCTGGCTCTTCGGACCTTTTAACGCATCACTGCAGCTAAGGCAAGATTATCTGGTACTTTGCATAGCAGTTACTTGCTCTGTGGAAAAATATTGGAGTAAATTGAAATATCATCACTTTGGATTGGCGGTTTGGATCTCATGTTCTACTGCTAGCTTGAGCACTGCGACTGTGGAAACGTGGAACTTAAAGCTAATTAGTTCCCTTGTCTTGTTCCTATGCTTTACATCTTTACATATGCAACTCGCACTTGTTTGATGAAGTACCAGGATCAGAGTTGAACCAACAAAGACTATTCCTTGAACACGAGTCAGCAGCTTTTGACTGTGTCAGACGTTTTCTTCTTATGTGGTAAAGGGACTCTTGTGCTAATTCTTCAGCAACATCCCCAAATAACCAGAGACAGCAAAATGGCTGCTGGATGTTAATGGATCCATCTACTATTCCTGCCTTTATGTATTAAGAGAACATTTTACCATACATGAAAGCCTGATCATATGTCCCTGCAACTTGCAAACTGTATTAGAAGAACATAACATAAAATCTAAGTTTTTGATCATGTTTACTCTTGTTTTCTGGAGATGTTGAATTAAACCCAGGACCAGGAAATAACCCTCTTACCCCAGCAGATCTTTACTCCAGATCTGGTCTTGGTATTATTCATGTTAATGTGAGAAGTCTTCTCCCTAAATTAGACATGCTCTCAATATGAATAAACTCAACAAATGCAGACATCTTAGTGGTATCAGAATCATGGCTAAAAATATATACCGAAGACAATGACATCAACATTGATGGCTATAATGTTTTTCGTGCGGATTGAGAGAAAAAAGGTGGAGGGGTGGCAATGTATGTCGAGCACCGTTTTACAGCTGATGTAATTTGATCAAAATCTTTGAGCAAAGAACTGGAAATTCGAGCCGTTGATGTTGAAATACCTAAAGATCAGCACATCATGGTGGTGGGATGTTATAGACCAGGGGTCGGCAACCTGTTCCCATCAAAGAGCCACTATTACCCGTTTCCCACAGCAAAGAAAACACTGGGAGCCAGAGCAGCCACGGCGTTGTGGGCGGGGCCTACCCTCAGACAGTAGAGCGCTGCTCACAACAGGTGACAGCAGCCGGTACCGGTCGCTCGTGTACGTCAAAGTTATCTTTCATAAGAAGATAATCAATAAAACGATTTATATAAAGTGGATCCAGAAGTTGTAGCCCGTCTCTGCCGACAATATTTAGATATGTTTCACCCTGTTGGTGGTTTTACTGAGCAGGTGCCCCTTTTGTCGTACGTTTCTTTTTAAAACATGTTTAGACTGTTCAGAATACAAATCCAGGCTCTGTCACGTTTGATTGTTGTAATTAAACTTTGTAGGTGGGGAAGGTCAGAAAAGGATCCGATCATTTTGTTTTTCCCTCATTTACAGCGACGGAGATAATGGTGCAGTGCGCCTGGCTCTGGTGTTAATCAAGTTAAATTTTATCTCTTTGCAACAATTTTCACAAGAAAACAGAACAGTTAAAAGCAGGGCTTGTGTTGACCGGACAGTTCCCGTATTTGACCGTTTATTTTGACGGAGAAAGAATAGAAAGAATTATCCCGACGCATGCAGACGAACTGACACTTTATTCGTTTCGCACATCGCAGATGTAGCTAAATCACTCAAGAAAAGATTCCCATCTGAACATCTGAGCTGGACACTGCTCAGCGCAGCTCGCTGTCAGCGTGTACTACATAAGGTGCACAGCAAGCTGAAGATGTGGAGAGGGGCTTGGAGCGAGTCGTAGAACCAGGGCGCATGCAGGAAGATTCCTCCGACTGAAGCATGACTTGTCACTTAGAAAATGTTCCCTGATTATGAAACTTTGGCTGAATAGCACTTGTTCCTGTCTCCAATGTGGCGACACATCCAGGATCTGAGGAGAATCCCAGAATCTCACATCCTCGTCAGCTCAGAAAGCGCTGATATGATTACGCACAAGCGTGACGCGTCAACCCGGTCTCACAGTAAGACCGGGTTGGACCTGTTCAGGTTTACGCAGACAATCTTTACATTTAGAATTGGCATACAGATGTAAAATTAATGCAGTAAAATATAAAGCATTTTATTTAAATATCCATTCATTATTTTACAAGCACAGAGAGCCGCATCAGATGGATGGAAGAGCCGCATGCGGTTCCAGAGCCGCGGGTTGCCGACCCCTGTTATAGACCTCCATTGGCTTCTAATAATTCATTGTCTATAGTGATACATTTTTTGTCGCAGTTAAAATACAATGAAGTACTGATTGTTGGTGACTTAAATTATGATTGGCTCGCATCTGCTTCTGATGCACTGAAAAATCAATGTCATATTTTAAATCTTACTCAGCTGATTGACTCTCCCACGAGAATCAACTCGAAACTTGTTAAAAAATCAACCCTCATTGATCTAGCATTAACAAATATGCCATTTAAATTTGTAGCGACTGACATTTTCCCAAATGATATGAGTGATCATTGCGCTATAGCAGTTGTACGGGATACAAAAGTTCCTAAAAGCAAACCACGCATGGTAACTAAATGCAATATGAAGATATTTTCTGAGCAAGCTTTTTTATATGATCTTTACTGTTTCCTTTGGGATAGAATAGCTTTTTTGATGATGTGGAACTAGCTTGGAATTATTTTCTCCAAAGCTTTAATAATATTATGAATAAAAATGCCCCCTTCAGAAAATTTAGAGTAAAGGGTCGTGAAAATCCCTGGTTTACAAATTAATTATCAGAGTTGCTTCATGAATGAGATGTGGTATGGGACAGGGCACGAAAGTCTAAATGCCCTAAAGCACTTAAGAAATAAATGTACTTTACTCTTACGAAAGACAAAATCAAATTTCTATCTGAACAAATTAACTGAAAATCTAACTAATCCTAAAAAGTTTTGGAAAGAAATCAAAGCACTATCCTCATCAGAGAACTGTACTCATTTACCTTCAAATATACAGCTGGAAGGCAAAAATATTAGTGATAAAACGGAAATGCTAAATTTGTTTAATACACATTTTGTGACATCAGGCTCATCATGCCATCCACCAGACCGTCAACCTCAACAATCTAGCATTGTCAGAAACAATAATATTGATGTTTTCAACTTTAAACCATTTACAACATTTGAGGTAAAGAAAGCCCAAAAACAACTCAAGTCTTGGAAACCAGCTGGTCCAGATGGACTAGAACCATTCTTCCTCAAGCTTGC